TCCCCGAGAAGGGGGAGGCGAAAATCAAAAAAAACCGCTACTTTCCGGCTCCGGCAAACGTCTCATCGGCCCGAAAAGGCGTTTTTTTACCCTTATTTTAACGTTTGGGGTTGGTTTTTTTATTTTTAGGAGGTTAGCGGTAAACGCTGCCCCGGGGGTTTTTGGCGAGCCGTCGGTGGGGATGGATGGATGGATCCGCCGGCAGCGCGCAGAGCGGGGCAGGACCCGCGTTTCGGGCCATCGATTTCCCCCGGCAGATTTTATTTCCCTGGCGCTCAAGGGATGAGTGATGCAGGTATATCCAAGAAGGGAAATGGGGGGGGGGGGGAAAAAAAAAGGCATAGAGCAGGCAGAGCGGGGAGAGAAGCTGTAGCCCCTGCGTCCCGGCACGGGAAAGAATCACAGAATCATTAAGGTTGGAAAAGACCTCTAAGATCATCGAGTCCAACCGTCAACCCAACACCACCATGCCCACTAAACCATATCCCCAAACGCCACATCTACCCGTCTTTTAAATACCTCCAGGGATGGGGACTCAACCGCCCCCCTGGCCAGCCTGTCCCAATGTTTAACCACCCAAAAGCATAAATAACGGTGTAAAGTTGTGTTTATTTGCGGGCGCAGCAAAAGGCTGTCAAACGTCTGACCCACGCGCGGCTTGTGCTTCGGGGAACGAGCGACGCCTTCGCAGCATTTCCTAGTCCCCGTTGCTTTGCGGGGGAGGGAAGCTCAGAGGTAAGAGACCCGCTCGGGTGTCAGGAGATGGCGAGGGAGGGAGACGCGATGGGATCGAGGCAAACCAGGGGCCGAACCCCCCCCCCACTCCCCAAAAGAGGCCGCGTGCTCTGGTGGGTGCTGGAGAAAGGAAAACTCCGGGTTTGTGCACCCTTCGGCTTAAAAAGCAATGCGCGTGTCTGAATCCGTCCCATTTGGGGGGAAAAAAAACCGTAGCGGGGAGATGAAGGCCGCCCGAAGCCACCGGGAACGCCCTGTCCCGTGCGCAGAAGCATCGATCCCGCAGCAGGACGACGAGATGCCGCTCACCAAGTCGCTTCCAGCAGCTCCTGGACGTCAAGCGCAAATGGTCCATCTCACCCCGCTCACGAGGTTGCACGTAACATGCTGTAGCTTTCAGTATGTCTGGTGACTAATTAAACAAACAGGAGCGGAGTTCCCTGCCAGCAAACCCCAGCCATCTGTCTCATCCTCCGGCTCCATCCTAATAAATGGTCAATCAAAGAGTCCCTTTCCCCTCACCTCCGTGCCGACACTCCTCTCGCCGTCCGGGCGTGCTGAGGGACGGCCCGCGGAGCTGCGAGGATACACCATCTGCCGCGCCGGTGGGCGCGTCCTGCATGGGAAGACGGAGCGAGGCGCGTTAAACCACCGGCGTTAACGGCATGAGGAGGTCCGGGCAGAACGCCGCACGCTTGCACGTTGCTAATCTAAGGGTTGCCAAGCTTGCTTTGCCGATAACGCCTCTCGGGTTTGGCATTTTGCACAGCTGAAGTGGTAATAGCAGCGATCAGAAGAGTATTTAGGGATGAAACGTCAAATGCAGCCTCCGCGGGGCCGGGCAGATTGGCGAGAGACGGTGTACCCCGACATGCAGCAAGTCATGAACGAGCGAGAGTAAAAGGACTGAAGCCACGGAGTCTGTCCCGTGCTCCAGGAGACATCGAGAATGCGCCTGATAATGAAACCAAAAATAATCACCCGCCACTTGGGACCCCACAGTACCTATTCCCCATAGTGTCCCCAGGACGCAGACGCGGAGGAGCGAGATCCTGACGTAACTGCATACGCTGTGATGTTTGGAGGCCTCTATGGTAATTAAAAAATATATCTGCGACCCGTGGAAGAAATAACCCTGCTGCATCACTAGATGCAGTGTGGGGCGGGTGCCTGTACAGATCGGTGCGATATAAGGATCCCCAAGCCGGCTGGAAGCAAATCTCCTTTTCTGGGGCTAATCAGCCGGGGTGGAGGGACCCATCAACACCTCCGCGGTCACCTCTCTTCCCCGCGGATGGAGCATCCGATGTGCAGACGCTGTCCTGGGAGCAGAGGCACCCCCGCCAGCTCTGCGCAAACACAAGGCAGAGCGAGTGGAGAAGCAGGATAATTCTATTTTATATGGCAATTGCTGGGGGACCCCGGGATCCTCGCGGATCCAGCCGGAGCATTTCTGCAGGGCTGCAACTCCCGGGGCAGAGAGCGGAGGCTGTTAGCGGGCTTTGGCATCGCCCGCGCTGTCGTTATTTGGCCGGAGCAGAGCTGACGGCGGCGTCTGGCCGACCCTCGCTGCCGGCATCCCGGGGTGGCTTGGTACAGCAACATCTAGGCATCGTCTACGTTTCTGTTTACCTATTCCGAGAAAAAACAAAAGGCCTGCAGTACTATTAGCCAAGCAGGTGGTCTAAGCACATTAGTGAATCTTGACGGCTCATGAGTTCAAAGGAAGCAGTTGCTCATCTCCGTGGAAGCTATCCGATAGCGTATTTAGCTGAAGAAGGGATGAGTGTACCCACCAGCACACAAAGGCCCAGATTTCCTAGCTCATTAAGCCCAAGTGTTAGTGCAAATATCATGGTAGGCGGGGTTATTAAATACAACACCTCTTCCGTTTGTTCCTAAGCAAAGTGTGGGAATTGGCCACTGGGATGCCAGCGTTTTCCTTACCGCGGGTGGTGAAGTGGGGCCGTGCAATTTATACAGATTAGCCCTGCCAAAAAACAAACACAAAAAAGGAAACATAAGAAAAGTAAAATTTAAAAGTAAATAATAAAACCTACATGGGTCTGTATTTCCAAACTGGATGGGGCAGCCGTCAAAAATTTGTATTTATACTCACGCCTCCGTGCCCAGTCTGGGGTTCGGGGCTGACCTCGGGTCTGAATTCACCATGAAAGAAGCAGCGATCTTCCAAGGTCTGTCCTACACGTATCTCCTTGAGGCTGGGGGAGGAGGACACAGACCTCTTCTGCACTGAAGAAAATAGAAGAAAAGACGATCCTGGCCCTGCAGTACCTGATCTGGCCCCATGTACACCGCATTTTGCTGGCATCGTTTTGGGGCAGGGTGTGAAATACTCATCTTCCAGCCCTAATGCATGACCCCGCCACGCGGATCAGCTCTCAGCCTGGATGTACAACCACCCCTTCTTAAGCCCCGTTAGTGGTAAATTAGGTGGTGTAGCCCAAATCCTCGTGAAAGCAGGGTGCGCTGACTCACCTGACGCAGGAGGCAGCGGTCGCCGGGCGATGGGGGAC